CGGGACACTAGAGGTCGGTAGTTGTGTATTGACTATGTTGATTCGGATTATGTTGGTGATTTGGATAAGCACCGGTCTACAATGGGATATGTGTTTACTTTGACCCATGCGACGGTGTGTTGGAGATACACCTTACAGTCTATGGTGACTTTGTCGACGATAGAGGCAGAGTATATGGCGATAACGGAGGCTGTCAAGGAGACTATTTGGCTTCGGGGACTTTTAGAGGAACTTGGTATATCACAATAGTCCATCACTCTTTATTATAATAGCATGAGTGCTAACTATTTGGCGAAGAATCAGGTTTTTCATGCGAGGATGAAGCATATTGATGTTTGTTATCACTTCGTTCGGGATATTCTTGAAGATGGTGCTGTGGAAATTATGAAGGTTTATACAAGGGATAATCCGGGGGATATGCTCACAAAGGTGGTTCCGAACAACAAGTTTGATCATTGTCAAAACTTGTTGCACATTCGTGATTGTTGAGGCCACTGACGACTATTTGGATGAACTACGGACGACTTGATCTCTTTGGAGAGGGGGTACTAGGTAGTCATTTTGATGCAGTCGGTTTGATGAGTTGATACCAATATTTTTTTTGAGTTTGTTTGCATTCTTATTTGGGTTCTCAACTTGTTGTAGATTGAGTCTGTTGTCATGGATTTATTTGAGTAATTTGAGCACTTTTGAGCATTGTTTTGAGCACTTTGAGAGGGAGATATTGTGAGAGAGTTAAGAGCTTTGGTTAGGATTATATTTGAGTAATTTTGTGAGTTGTAACCCATTGTATTTCTCCTCCATATAGTAAAATCTTCTCATCCTCTCCTCGTGGACGTAGGCAATTGCTGTATCACGTAAATTCCTATGTTTGGTTTGATTTGTGTCGCATTTTGGTGAATGATAAACACGAATATTTTCTATATTTTGACTATATTTCACCTCTGGATTTGTTATTATTTGATGTGATTTCCTTGCACTTAGGCTTTGTTTAGCTTCATTGTTCCTATTTACTACTCTATTTATATATTGTGTAGAAAATACTAGAGCTTAGCACGGATTTGGAGTCAAGAAGGAGTCAATGAATGCATGGAAATAGGCTACATGGTCCTCTAGTGTCCAACAACACAGGCATGTTGAATACAAAAGAAAAACCCAAAAAGAGCAGAGTGAAACAATTAAACATGGTCTGGTCGTGTTGATCTACACAACCGTGTTAGATGTCAGCAATCAGTTATCACGCGATTAAGCGAAATTTGATTTTAACACATCTTTCTCTAGACTTTAAAGAAAGACGTCCTGAGGTATCTGGGAGGCACCAGAGGCTGGATATCTCTATTTTTTCTTCTTCTTCTTCTCCCCATATCTCTAAAAATTCTTAGATTAGGATTTCTTTGATTTGGCAAGGTGCTAGTTGTGGAGATATGTGGACAACATCTCGATTTCGACACTATGGTTTATTTTTCTATTTTATCTTGTTTTCCTGTTTATAATTATGATCTTATACATTATCATCATGTCTTCTATTTCAATTATTTGTGAGTAATCGTTTTTTCTAGGATTGAATTAGGTTAAACTATGGTTGTGAATCAATGAAGTGATTTTGTTGTTGTCATTAATTATTCAATTTGCATTATTTAATTACTAGTATCTGATTGCCTAGGGTTAATTCAATTGGCCACTGATTTGACTCTTCTAGGATGTTGATTTAAACTGAAAGGTTAAATCGACGCCAGAAAATAGTAATTGAACGGGAATTAATTGATCACGAAAGTAGGTTAATTATTCTTAGGAACGTGAGGGATTAACATGAACTTAATGGGTTTAATTCGATTCAGCACCATGAAAATAGTTTGTTAGGCTGAATTAGGCACAACTTTTAGTCGTCGAAAGAGACTAATAGTTATCATAGATTAGTCTTTCTTAATGCATTGAGAGGGTCGATAACGATTGATTAATTTGTTGATTCAAACGAGAGTTGAAACCAAAATTCAATCCTAGATTCTTTTAGTTGAGTGAATTCGCTTTGATACTAGTTAGCATGTTCGTTATTTTTTTTTGGTCAATGAAAAAGCTTTATTCATTGACCATATATGGAAAATCAGTACATCTATATTCTTAGCATAAACTGATATTACAATCAATAATCTATAGTAGACTCACATGCCTCAAAATACAATCATAGAGAACAAATCCATTCTCTAATCTCATCTGGAATTAAAGTGATCATTGAGGATAATAGACATGATGTTAATTTTTATATCTCTAAAAAGCTGAGCAGTAGTTCTTCTCTTTTGCTTAAAAATCCTAGCATTTCTCTCACACCAAATGCTATAAACTGTAGAAGTTAGAGCCATCCTTTTAATCTTCTGTTTGAATCCATTCCCTCTCAACCTGACACTATACCAGCTTAAGATTTTATCCCAATTGCAAGATTTCCATTTGAATTGTAACCATTCCATAACCATAATCCACACATCCCTTGAGAAACAGCACTCAAAGAAGAGATGGTTCCTGTTTTCAGTATCAGTGCACATAATCCACACATCCCTTGAGAAACAGCACTCAAAGAAGAGATGGTTCCTGTTTTCAGTATCAGTGCACTAGACATCAATTGTTGCTGTTTACAATCCCCCTATTGATCAATTTATCTTGAGTAAGTAATCGATCTTGAACTGCTAACCAACTCACAAAAGAGTGCTTGGGGTAGTTTAATTTCACCCAAACTGTGCTATGCCATGGCACTAAGTTTGTTGTTGGGGAGAGAATAGAATACAGAGCTGATAATCGGATATTTGAATTTTTGAACAAGAAAAGATGAGTTGTTTCAGGTTATCAGTACCCCCATATAATCCTTGAGCCTTGTCTCTCACTTTCAGAATTTGTCTCCACATCCATGAATCCCCTTTTCTAGCTTGCGCATGCCACACATCATTGTGTTTCAAATATGTGCCATGAATCCACTTGATCCACAAGTTTTTCTTATTGATATGAATATTCCAAAGGATTTTCAGTGTTGAAGTCATATTTTAGGTAGAGGCAGAGTAAATACCCAGACCACCATGTTTCATACTCAAGCAAACATTATCCCATGAAACAAGAGCATTTTGTGTAACTGTTCAGTTTTTCCCCACAAGAAATTTCTACACAACTCATCTATCTTTTGTAAAACTTTAACTTGCAAGACATAATTTGACATCCAAAAAAATTTGTATACCAAGGATAACACTCTTGATAATCTGTAATCTGCTTGCATATGACAGATTCCTGATTTTTAAACAAGCCTGAAATTGACTTGAGACTTTGGAGAAAAGAGGAGAGCAATCCAAGAATGTTAGCCGTTTACATATCAGAGGCACCCCAAGATATTTGATAGGAAAAGCACCCTCAGAAAACCCAAGGAAGTTGTTTATAAGATATTTGAAATTATCATCAACCCCTCCATAGAAGATTTTGCACTTATCTGGATTTGCCTCTAGGCCTTAAACAGAGCTAAAATCTTTGAAGCATTTGAAGAACATACTTACAGAGTGTAGGTCAGCCTTAGAAAAGAGGAGAAGATCATCCGCAAAGATCAAGTGAGTGATCTTAAGATTACCACAACTTGGATGAAATTTAAACAACATGTCCTCCTTTAGCATATTCAGGTCCTAGAGAGATACTTTATTCCTAAGATGAACAAATAAGGGGACAGGGGGTCTCCTTGCCTTAATCCTCTTTTCCCTTTGAAATAGACATGGAGAGATCCATTTAAAGAAATTGAGAATTTTGGAGAGGAAACACAGGCCATAATCAAGGTGATCATCTTTGTAGGAAACCCAAGACCTTTGAGCATTTCTTTGAGGAAATCCCAATTTATTGTATCAAAAGCTTTTTTGATGTCAATGCTTAGCATAATCCTGGGAGAGATTCTCTTCCTACTGTAATTCTTCACTAACTCATGAGCAAGCAATATGTTACTAGTAATTTGCCTTCCTTTCACAAAAGCACTTTGAGCCTCATTTATCAGATATCCCATAATGGGTTTGATTCTGTTAGCTAGTATTCTTGAGATGATCTTGTAGAGGCAGTTGCAGCAGGCTATAGGTCTGAAATCAGATGGGGTCCTGGGACAATTCACCTTTGGAATCAGGGTGATTGAAGTAGAATTTATCGCACCTAAAAGCTTCCCAGTTCTGAAGAAATGTTTAACAGCCAATGTTACCTCATCCCCAATGATATTCCAAGATGACTTGTAGAAGGACATGCTAAACCCATCAGGTCCAGGAGCTTTGGTGTCAGACATGGAGAAAACTAAATTTTTAATTTCATCTCTGGTAACTGGAGAGGACATATTCCTTGCTTGAGTTTCATTTAGGCAAGGTCCATCGCAAATTATATTACTATCAGGCATGAATGTAACAGTGGTAGTGACCATGAGACTTTTATAAAAGGAAATAAGCTTTTGAATTATTTCCTTACCATCAGTAATTCTGCTACCCACAATGTTATAAAGCACCATCACTCTATTGAGATGTCTCTTAGATTTGATAGCTAAATGGAAGTAACTTGTGCATCTGTCACCAAGAATATTCCATTGAATCCTAGTTTTTTGTTGATAGAAAGCACGTTCGTTGTTGATAGTTAAGAATCATACTTTTAGCACAATTGGTTTAGATAGTCACAAAACAGTCAAAATCAGTAATTGACAACGAAGTCCCTGAGGATACGTGAATTGACAACGACATCCGTGCACTTGCGGATTTGAGTGATCAGTGAATTGCACTCGTAATTTGGATTGGTTCTATTTTCTCATTGCCCACCGACTCGTTTGGTTGTCGAGCATGCTTCCGCACGGCGCGCAACAAAACACTTGCGTGTTCGTCAATTAATAGCATAACAAACTCAATTATAAATATATATATATATATTTCATCCATATGTATATAATCCATACAAGGTATTCAATCCCTCACAACATGTATATATATCCACATTGCCATATAATAAAATTAATAAATTTAATTCCTAAAGAGTTCTTTCTTTCTTACTTTTTCTTTTTCTTTTGGCTTTCTGTTTTCCACAGTCCCTTCGTTACCTGCAAGCATCAGATACTTGTGTTTCCTAGTGAGGGAAGTACACTCAAACCCCAGTGTTAGGCCAATCTCCCTCTGCACCTCGTTAGCCACCTCATAGCTACAACTTCCCCCGCCCAAACCTGTCGGAATCTTATCCAAAAACTTCAGTTCATACTTTGGGTTAGGATTCATCAGGAAACAAAACGGGTCCAGCCACTTAAACCCGCTAGCCGTGGTCCCATAAAACATGCTAACCCTGGTGTCGAGCGCGACTGGAACGACCTCCTGGGTAAGCTCGGCGAAGAGCGGGCTGAATCTGAGCAGATAGGGCTCGCGACACGTCGTGCCCTCAGGGCAGACCACGAGGTCCCCTTGTTTCAAGAACTCCTCCATTTTTTTCCTGTCTACTTCTTTGTTTCTGGTCAACCTGACGGTCGGAATAGGAGCAAGAAGCTCGGAAAGTGGGCTGAGGCTGTAGGTGACCGCCGTGACAAGCTTGTTCAGTGCAGCCGAGATATAGATGGGGTCAAGTAACGTGCGGTGGTTGCAGACGTAGAGGTGGTGGGTCCCGGAAAAGGCTGCAGAGGTGGTATCATTTATGGGAAGAGAGCAGGTGGCGAGGAGGCCCGAGAAGGCGCCGATTGGGATGGAGAGGTTGTAAGGTAGGAGGAGGAAGACGAGGGTGCGGAGGAGGGAGAGGGAGAGGCCGAATGGGGCCCACATGAACATGGCGAGGACGGAGAGGGGTGTCGGGAAGAAGGCGAG